CCTAATGTATTTGCTAGTTTCCTAGATTCTCTAGTTTTCCAAATTCTAGTAGGATTTCTACTTTTCCAGATTTCCAGATTTCTAGTTTTAAGTTTCTATTTTATTTGGGTTAGGATTTCTGTTTAAGCAGGGGATTTTTAATAATAGGTTTTAGTTTGCTATAAATACCCCCATGTAATTCTTTAAATTCAGATTTGAATATTGAATTAAACCTTCTCTTAAACTCTCTGATTTCTGCCTTCCTTCTATCTTTTCTTCTCTTCGACCTCTTATATTCTTTTATGTTCTATTGCTTCAAGTGTTTAAACTAATACCCAGGGCTGTACTATATCAGTTTATTGACCTAAAAAATGAATAATCAGTACTTTATACATTCAGGTTATTTGATTTCTGGAACAAAGAAAAACCAAGGACAATGAACTTGGAAGTGTGTGCGCACCCGTGTATGTTTGGGTGTGTGCGCACCCGTGTATGTTTGGGTGTGTGCATGTCGGCATATCACATTGAATATCAGACAATATATGCTCCTACCTGAAATCTATCAATCAAGGGTATGGCACCTGCAAGTTCTGCTGGGATGTCCATTGATAGGGTCCTAGGTGTTCTGCAATAACAAATGGAAGTATGCTGACAGTCAGAAGGAAGACAAACTCATAATGAGCAAACTGCAGGCGCATGTTTAAGAACCAATCATGGTAATAATACTATCATGAAAATGAAATTAAGACCCATTTCAAACAAGAATTTTACAACCAGAGTGCCTCACTTTAGCTTAATTTGCAAACTGATTGATCCTTCTTTAATATCTAACCAATAAAACTGGGGTAAAGAAATTCGTAAACAGAATAATGAAGGGATTCAAGCAAAAGTTGAAGACATGAACTGCAAGCAACTTACGCTGGTGCCAAGCTGGAGCTATCACTGTCATAATCATCCCCATTTGAAAGTGCAGCAGCGTTGTGTAAAGGAGTATCCCCATTGCCATTGCTAGAGCTAAAAGACGACCTACCTGTTCTTACACTTTGAGCCATTGATGGGTGCAGGTCCATTGTCATTTCACTGAAACCCAAGAGACAGGCTCACTTCAAAGGAACAATATCAGCTCCCTTTTCAGCTCATCAATCATCTATTCACGTATGAGATTATGTTGCTTAGGATGAACAATGTTCTGCTTCTACCTAATAATCAGAAACAACAAAAACAAAGGCAACAATTAGCTACATGAAGATATTGTTCATATGAAACCATTTTAAATCAAAACTTAATCTATTCATCTTAAACATTTATTGGAAACAACAAAAAGCAAAATAAATAAACAAAATGCAGTAAAGCCGACAAGGAGATGATATCAACCCATCAATGATCAAACCCAGCAAACAGAACCGGTTAAAAACCAAAAAGCATCAATCTTTGAGCAAATTAGAGCCTGCCTTTGGGTCTTTGGCCTAGGCTTTGAGGAGAAAATACGTGTAGATCGATGAGATAGAATGAACAAGAGATAACCAAAAGCAATAAAATGTAATGTGACATTCATAAATGGATGAAACAGGGGAAGGTCTCTTTCTCTGATACTGACCTTCGCAAGCCACGCATGGATTGAACGAACGGAGAGAGAGAGATCTGAGCTAACAAAAACTCAAGACACCACTGCTTCCAGTGAAAGCAGAGAGAATCACGGGACTATTATAAATGACAAAGGTCATTTTAGGAAATTCACATCGACATTTATTTTTTAAAGCTTTTCCTTTCTGTTTGCGCGTTTGGTTTGCGACTTTGTGTGCTTTTCAATCTTTCGAGCTTTTGAAGTGTGAAATCACGAATTTACCCTCCTATCTTTATGCATTTGTAATTCGAACGTTTTTCATTTATTTTTCCTATGTGGTCTCTCCTTTTTATCTGATACGTTTTTCATTTATTTTTCCTATGTGGTTATCTGATGATGATATATAATTTGAAAGAGTACGGAAGGGCAATATCGTCATTTTTATAATCCCCTGGGGCGGGAGATACCAAACTTTGGGCCTTCCACGCGCTGCCGCTAAAGCTTGTACCAGGAAGTTTTGTTCTCTGCACCACCTTCCATGGGCCCATCCAATCTAACTTTATCTTTGCAAGTTTCCTTCCATGGAAGCCAACAATTTCACTTTAGTTTACAGTTTTACTGTTTACATACTTGTACGAAAATAACAAAAATTAATATCCTTTTGTTCAAGTTTCATCAATACTGCATATTTTGCAAGTGATTTAACTTCATCAATGAATCGTAGTTTACAGTCTAACAACATAACATACTGATCTGTCTAATGAATAAGACATTGCATATAATTATTAATTAATTTTCTTTTTATGTCAGCAATAACTTAATTTCAAAAAAGAAAAAATCGGGTTTGCCAATTATATATATTTTTTTATACATGGTTTTGACAATGTTTCTTGCTTTTGATAAACCCTAATATTTTTATGGAAATAGCCAAACTCACAGTCTAACAACATAACATACTGATCTGTCTAATGAATAAGACATTGCATATAATTATTAATTTATTTTCTTTTTATGTCAGCAATAACTTAATTTCAAAAAAGAAAAAATCGGGTTTGCCAATTATATATATATTTTTTTATACATGGTTTTGACAATGTTTCTTGCTTTTGATAAACCCTAATATTTTTATGGAAATAGCCAAACTATGCCTATGACTGCACAAGAGCCGGCCATGCCGGCTAATGCCAAATGTACAAGAGTTAATACATCTCACGAGAATTGCCACTTGATTGACTTAGCAATAGGGAGGGAGGGATCATCAAGTCATATTTGATACAACTATTTATTGCTTTTTTTTTTACCCTTTTTTTTCTTCATATTTTCTATATAAAATGTTGAAAGGCCAACAATAAACAATGAAACCAGAAAGGGAGAACAAGTCAAGGAGATTAAATTGCAATAAAGAGATTCATGGGAAAGTTGAGGAGCAGTGTCAAGTCTCAAATGGGGCTAATAAGAACAAACAAGTAAAAGCAACCACCTGCACTACACCAAATAATTTATAGCAGCAGGTAAGGAAGGCCCCCCTTTTTTTTTCTTCTGCTTTTTAGACAGCAAGGCTAAAACTAAAGTCTCCATTAAGGCAACAATTTTCCCCTCCAACAATGATGATAACTTTTATTTTAAGCAAACAGAAATCATTACCTTTTAGAACCAATTATTTTATTATCATTCAGTTCCATGTTCTAAGCAGTTTCCCAGGCCCTGTTTGTGTACTGTGTAGGGTTTAGTTGATGCTTTAGGGAGGATCAAAATTTTGCCTGGTTTGCTTCCTTTGTTTTCAATTCCTGCCCAATTCCTCATATCTTAGTATCTAAATAACAACAAAACTTGGTCAAAATGTGGATCAACATGTGGCATGAGTCCACATGCTATCCTTCTTTTTCTTAAAAGAAAAGACATATTCTTTAGATTGTGTATTGTCAAGTATTGTTGTGACACACACTCACCCTTCTTCTTCAACAATACACCAAAAAAAGCTCAAATTACTGCAAACTTCAGCTTATTCTCAAGTCCAATGGTGCGGTTATGATTTAGAAAAGGCAATACTTGTAGTATCCAAACTCCATTGAACAATATTCTCTATTATTTATTCCAAATAGCAGTGTACACGCGGTAACAATCAGAGGAGAATTTGAAGTTATTGGAACCCTTTTAAAGCGTATAGCCGTGCGGCTATACTTTTAAAATATTCTATTTATAGTGCATAGCCTGTATAGCCGTGCGGCTATACTCTTTAAATATATTTCCACATTGAACTAACAATAAAAATCTGGATCTGTAACAATAAATTTAGTTTTAATTTACCCAAACTAATTTTTTATAAATAAAAAATAAAAAACAAAGTCAACAAAATAATTTAAAATAATGAATTACTATTTATTAAGTAATTTATGAAATCAATAAAATATTTAAATATTCACTAAAGAAATAATAACTCGAATATAAATACCAATTAAAGTAATTAAAAAAATTAATTACATATATTAAATTAAAGAAGTTGGCCAAAAAACAAAAGTAAATAAACTAAGTTTATTTACTTATTTTCTTTTAAAAAAATAAACCTCTTCCGACGAAATTTACCTCTGCTTCGCCAAGATAGACCTCTACCGACGAAATCTCATCACGAGAGAGTTTTTTAAAAAATAAATATAAACTTTGTCTTGATCATCAAAGGCAATTTCAGCTAATTGTTCACTATATTAATTAAATAATGCTAAGATATTACTCAATTAAAAATAAAGTAATTAGCGATTTCGAAGAAAATTTTATTTCAAAGAAAACGAAAGAAAAAAATATTAATGACTATTTATTAAGTAATATCATTTATGAAATTAATTAAAATATTTAAGACTAATTACTCACTAGAGAAATAATAATTAAAAGATAATTACTAATGAAAATAATTAAATATGGCTAAGATATTGTTTAATTACTAAATAGAAATTTTTTATAAAAATTTAATTGTCTACAACGCGTAGATTAACAAGAGCCAGCAAACGTTTTGCAAACAAGAGAAAAGAAAAAACAAAAACGGAAGAAACATGACAATTCGTATATATTTAAAGGGTATAGCCGCACGGCTATAATTTTAAAATATTCTATTCAAAGGGTATCGCTGTGCGGCTATATTTTTAAAATATTCTATTTATAGGGTATAGCCGAGCGGCCATACTATTAAAATATTCTATTTATAGGGTATAGCCGTGCGGCTATACTATTAAATATTCTGTTTATAGTGTAAAGCCGCCCGGCTATACTTTTAAAATATTCTATTTATAGGTATTTCCCGGTGAAATTTTTTCCCGATAGATATTTCCCAGAAGAATACATATGAGTTTCACAGAAGAATACATATGGTACAGTAATGTTTCTCTCCACTGGACAAGAATACATATGAATTTCACAGAAGAATACAAGTCTTAAAACCAACTACAAAATGGACAATGATGCGAAATTCATAAAAGAATACAAGTCTTATAAAATCAACTACAAATCACAATTAAACTCATCTTTGTAGTGCCATAGAATGAAGCCGGCAGGTTTCTGTTCCTTAAATAGAATCGGAACGCTGATTGAACTCTGGAGTAAAGAGATATGTTCCTCATTTATCGATACATCTTAAGATGGACACTGTTGAACCCAAAATGCAATTTTCCTACTGTTGGACATACTTCGCAGCATAACTTAAACTAGCAAAGATTTTGATCTTTTGACTTTGAAAAACTTCTAGCAAAAGTTCGCAAGGTCTCCATGACATTTTGGATTTTCTCTGAAATTGCATTGTACAGACATCTTTGTGCTGCCTCATCCAGACCACCGGGGCAAGTGCTTGGCCATCCTAAAGTAGGATGTGAAATATTACGAGACAGAGACATTGCCATCTGCCTCATTTTAGGAAGGTCAAGTTCCATTGGCTCACCAACAATTATCTTAATGTTCTTATTCCATAATGGAAAAGGAGGCCTTTTACCACGATAAAAGTTCTCAGGCATCACCTGCAAATTCAAACAGTGGCCAATGTGAAATGAGCAAAATTGAACAAATGGGCCACAGAAGATCCATCATCAGATTCTAACAAATATGAAGCATAAATTTAAAGCTAAATATATATTTTTCCTTTTTACATAGATGGATAAAGTTCTGCCACATGAATGCCGCTGTTTATTTACATCATTGTCCAGGACTTCAAAGAGCTACACGCATACCAAAAATTGGATAAAATCATTACATAGCATAAAAGAAGTTCACAATATCAGCAGTGCGCCTTTGATAACCTCAACATACTTGGAAAACCATAATTCAGTAGTGCAAAGTTTATGACATATTAAATGCATAATAGAAACATTTTAACTGCCACATCAATAAGGTCCAATTCCAGCCACAAGGAAATTCTACTATCCCATAAAATGTAACGCTAACACTTCGGTGTAGCAATCATTCACAGAACTAGACAATTAGCCATTTGGATGTCAGATCACAATGTCATGGCTCAAGTACTAAGTCATATCATCAGGAGGACCTGACTATATATGACAAGAGTATGTTGGATGCAAAGAGACATCCGTTTATCATTTATGACATAAAAAGATAAATAACAAGGAAATGAAACTCTGAAATCAAACAACCACCATTGTGTTTAATGGATGCAAAGTGATTCCCAGGTTCAAGTCATACTTTTCACAGAGAATGAAAAAACCATTCAATCTGACAACTTGTGATACTGTTGTACAAATGCACTGTTTGGAAATCATCTCACAGAAACATTTTCAGTGGGGAGAGCAGGGAGGGGGAGATTGCCATCTTAGCAGTTCATTAACATCTTATAACGGGGAATTGATCGAAACACAAGTCCAGATAAAGGGGAAGAATCCTTAGTAGAGTAAATTACCTGTTCAAACCCCGAATGGACAATTGGCAAAACTATAGGTGTTACAGGAGCACGAGCAATGAGACTAGCAGTTCCCCATTTCAATCGTCTAATAGGTGCATCTTCCTGGGACACTTTTCCTTCTGGAAATGTATGCAACTGCTCATCAGAGATTCAAAAGTTTGAACTTGAATAACTAAAAGGTTTAGCATAAATATCAAAGAATTATACTATACAACAAAAGCCAACAAATTTGCAAAACTACTGATTTTATAAGGTAAAATTTCATTCCACAAAGTACAAACGACTCTTTGAAGAACCGGTCAACCAAAAAATTCCAAACTTCATATAATCTCAGTTGAGTGAGCTATGCAATGTCTCGTCATGGAAGAAAAAGCAGACAAATCTGCCACCAGATTTGGAAGATTCACATTCTAAATAGCATTGAGTAGCTCCCACCAGTGCTCAATAATCGAAACTAGACAAGAAAAAACAATTAACAATATGAAGTGATTACCCATTCTCCTTCACTTAAACGCTCAAGAGCTTCATTCATGTGTTCTTGATAAATGCCACCACCCCGTGTAATTGGTATGCACTTCCCTGTACAACTTACCATATCAGAATCTAGAACTAATCCAAAATCAAACCATGAAAGACAATTCACCTTACCAAGTCTGAAGAAGTAAGAAAGCATTGAACTTTTGAAACAAATGTCCTCGGCAGCCAAAGCCCACCGAGACAATTTCGCATCCGTGATGGGAAAGCCCTTGAAACCCCACAAAAAAGGGTCATCCATGGTGGACATGTGGTTGCTAACAGTGACGAGTGGTACACCAGGAGGCCGAGAACGAACCAGACGAAGGAGTGTATCGGCATTGTGAACAGTTGTGTTGTTGAGCAAAGAGACGACAGCCTTTGCCAAACCCCCCACCGCCATGATCACCATCTTCCTTGGAATGCCGCCCATGTAATCAGACCGAGCTGCCCATTCCATTATTCTTCGTCCCATGTTACTTCAGCGAAAACCCAATTGGGTCGACTTGGTTTTTATCTATTCAAGGATCGAATAGGCGCGCTCTCGCCACTGCATATTCAATTGGCGGAAAGGGAAACACAGGATCTGTAGATTCGTGTCTGATTTCTATGGAGCACAACTGTTTCTGTTCAACTGGAATTGCGAGAAGGATTCATCATGGACCTGGTGACATTTACAGCCTGATTGATTGGGCTTGGGCTCAATAATATTGATAAGGTCGAAATTGTTTTTTGTCCAATTTTTTTTTAATAACAATAAGATTGATAAGGTCAACTTTTTTGGTGAACTTTGAATCTAATATAGTGAAACAAAATTAACATTCAAGATGACATGATCTAAGGTAGAAATTAATCTTCTATTAAGCACTGTAATGTATGAAGAGGGGTTCGAATTCAAGTTCAAGAGAGCGTGCATACTGCCTTAAACAACAGGTCTAACTCGTATTTGCAAAGCCTCATATGAATTTGGGGGTAATGAATTTCTTGAAGTTTAACCTTTTGTTAACTTATACAATGTCAAACTAATGTTCAACTTAATTAAATGGCCATTTGACATAGCAAAGAAGCATCTAGTATCAATTCAATACAATAACCTTTTTCTCAAATACCAACGTGGGAAAAAATATAGATTCATTTATTATTTAATAGGAAAATATTATAGATTTTTTATTTCTTTTGCCCTATTTTTTTGCCAACTTCCCACGTGTAGTAGTAGTGGAGACTGGTAGTTCCCACGAAGCCAAACGAAGAACCGAGAAGCAAAAAAAGGCGAAGTAAAAACTCTCTCACTGACATCACACATGGCAGACTTGTGCGTTTCTCAGTCCTCACTTGTTCTACGCCCCAAAATTGGAGCTTTACACAACCTAAACACCTCCATTTCTCCAGCCCAACGCCTGCAACACAACGATCTCAGCTATCGGGGATTTGGGGCTTCCTCTGATAACGCTCTTTTGTTGAGGCACGCATCAATTCAGAAGCTTGGGGTTGTCTCTGACACCAAATCTTCCACTATATTCACTGTTGATTCGGGGATCAAGGATATCGGCATCGAACCAGCTACCGGCGGCGGAGGCGGTGGAGGTGACTTTGGCGGTAGAGGCGGCGGCGGCGGCGGAGGCGGTGGAGGTGATAATAGTGACGATAAAGGCGAGGGAGAGGAGGGACCGGAAGAGAAGAGAGAGAAGAAAGGGATGTCAATGTCTCAGAAACTAACTCTAGGATATGCTGCTCTTGTTGGAGGTAATCAAATTACTTTGCTTTTCTTTTCTAGCTTGTAAAAATTTCATCTTGTATTATATTGAAGCGAAGGCTGTTCCAGTCCAGCTATATATTTTTGCCTTAAAGCTACAATAGTTAGAAATTGCCTATGGAGTTACAAATCTGTTGTTTTTGTTATTGTGGCTAATTTATGAGGCTTAAGGCCTTCAGTTGTACTTGTAAAGTATAGAACTTTGGGGTTTATCTCAAATAGTATAACAGGGTGGTTTCCAATTTTATTGGTGATCTCTGATTTGTCTGTACAGTTCTGGATTGGTCCCGTCTATTTGATGGTTCTCGTAGGAAGACTTTGTGTTTCTATGTTCAAAGCTTTTTTCTTTTATGTATAGATTAAATATAAAGATGACTTAGTCTAGAAAATTATCTTTTAGTTGGGAAGTTTTTGAAGGTTTTCCTCAAGAAAAGTCTGCAAATGACTTGCTTAGCTCCGTACTTCCAACTAGCTTCTTGTGTCCCAATACCTAGGGATTGCATCGATAGAATCCTGAAATCAAATAATTATCTAATGGATGGCAATCATCCATATGAACATACCAGTTTATTATGTCCAGTTCTTGATAGTATCAATTGTACTGGGATCTCACAGTTGATTTTTGTGACAGTGGGTGGCCTTATGGGCTTCTTGAAGAGTGGCAGCCAGAAATCACTGTTGGCAGGGGGATTATCAGCGGCCTTACTCTTTTATGTTTCAACTGAGCTTCCCGTAAGACCAGTTTTTGCATCATCTATTGGGCTTGGTAAGCGATCATCACACTCTCAAAATTTCCTGTACTTGTTTTGCTAGTTGCTACAGTAGTCCATTGCTAGATTCTGTTTTCTTTATATCCACTTCGATGGTTCTCCCGTATATTCTCCCCAATAACACATTTTGAATTGTCTGATCCTAATAAATACTGACAATTCTTGTATTTCCATTTTAATTAGCTGTATGAATATGATAAAACTATTGAGACTTATCAGAGAAAACCAAATTTTGCTTTCAAAGTACAGGTCCGGTTGCTTCTGTAAGAACTATACCATTATGTTAGTTACAACACGTGCTTCTGTAATTAGTGATTATATTAGTTGAGAGTGCTTCAATAAACAACCCACATTGGTTATCCCATCGCCCTTTGATAAAGTCTTTATCTACAAGCTTATCCCTCTATATTTGCCTAAGGGGACAAAAGATTTTAATGGATAAATACAGAGTGGTGATAGGTGCATGCCTAAATAGAAAGAAAAGAAAAAAGAAAAAAAGTTGGCATTCGATTGCCGGTGCACTAATTTTTACTATTAGATACTACAATGTTCATGGGCGTCCTAGGTTTTTTGTGGTAACCTAACTAGTTCCCTTTGCATCCCTTCTCTCTCTCTTTGCAAGTGCGGTTTAATTTCTTATATTTTTTTTTTATTTTGTCTTCATTTCTCCCTGCCTCCAGGGTTGTCTGCTGCCCTTCTGGGAGTGATGGGCTCTCGTTTCAAGAAGTCAGGGAAGGTATTTCCAGCCGGTGTTGTATCTCTTGTGTCACTTGTAATGACCGGTGGCTACTTACATGGAATTCTACGCGGTATGCACTGAAAAATGCATATGTAAGTTAGAGAGTAATAATGTGAGTTACCGTCTGGTATTTGAGTCCTTTTTCTTTTGTTTTTTGTTTTCCTTTTTTGTTGCTAATATCTGGTATTCGATATCAGTATTAGCTTTTGAAAAAAGGCAATGTAGACTTTGTATTGTAGGATGTGGTGTTTGAAAGTTCGAAAAGTTCAATCGACAATACACTGATAAATTTTGTGTGCTTAAGCATCTCCATGTGTATGTGTTTTTTCCTTTTTTGCACTGTTTCCTATTAAAGAAACAAGCTGTTGGTCGTGAAAATTGGTTTCCTAGCATTTTCCACCTATAATGGGAGTTCAACTATCGTCATTTACTTTTCAGAATTTGAATCCAAGGAAGGAAAATGAAATAAAACTGCTCGAGTTGAATTCGACATTGGTTTTCTTCTTGTGGATAAGAAATTTTTGTTTATATCACAAAGCATGTAGACAATATTTTCCGGAAATAACTGCATCATAAATTGGGATGCATGCGACGCTCAGTTGATGGAAAAAAAAAGTGCGACTTCCTTCCACCCAGGCCGATGCAAAATAACTACGGCAATATTGGAGGTTTGTTCCAGTATGATTGCATGGTTTTATTTTACCAATATTTTTCACAAAAGATAACAAGCAGCTGAACTCAATATTCACCACACGACCAAGTTAACACCAAATAGTTTGTCATTAGTTCTAGGCAAGTTTACAGTGTCATAAACAAACAGTCATGCTACACAATACAAATCCGAATACAGTTTAAATGCCTTGGCATAAACGGGGCAAACAAACATGTTTACAAATTCTCCATCAGCAATTGAACACAAAATCACCAATCTATCATGTGAGGTTTCATTTTGTTTCAAATCAACTGAGAACTTGTACGCATATGAGCCCCGATTATGTGAACAGGCACGTCAAACATAATAATCACCAGTTAAATGTAGGTCTTTGCGAAAGTACGATAGCAATGCTGAGACTAAAAATAAAGATAAAACGTTCCACATGATCCAGTGAAAATTTTGTTATTAGTTCAAGATGGGTAGGCAGTAGCAGAACTTGGTTGCATTTCCTCCTTCACCATGGCAGATTGTTTGAAGCAACCCAAACCTGGAGAGGCATTATTGCTGAGGTTAATTTTAGCATCGTCATCCACCTGTGTTGCGGGTGAAGTAGGATATGGATTCTTGCTGACCAACCTGCAAGAATGAATAAAAATATTAATAAAAAAACAAATTGATGTGCAAAGGCCTAGGTATGGTGGTGCCAGAGAAAAAACCCATCACAGCACCCACCTGTCCCGTCGCTTCTCCAGGAAGCGCTGAAGAGAGTGTCTCCTTGCTATGGGAAATTCTGAATCAACAGAAACATTGAAGCAGAAATCATGAAGCCATCATTAGGAATTTTTTAAAAAATTGTGCCGCTAATATTGCAATGAAATTCTTACCAGCTTGCAGTTTGCAAATGGAACTCTTCTGATCAGGGTAGGGCTGGACCACTGGTGAACCAGGAGCAGAGTTTTGCAGCGAAGACGACCCTGTACAAACTAGTGGACTTGGTGGACCGCTTGTCCCACCATTCTTAACATCAGTAGTCTTATTTGCAGCATCAGCTGCTGCGATAAGCATAAGTTCACGAACCTGTCATGCAAATAAGTGCAGAACAGAATATGTCAAGCGCGTAGATGGTTGAGTTAGATGCAAATTGCTTATGTTATTAAGGATAGAAAAGAGCCAACCTTTTCTGCAGTAACTGCATCAAAGACGCTAACACTCCCAGCGTAGAAGATGGTAAGCTGAGCCGGCATGATCTTTCTGGCACTCAAACACAAAGAACAACAAACCAAATTTAATGTCAGCCTGGCATGATCTAGCTTAACCCGCAAAGCTCCTCTCCACACCCTCTCCACACCCCCATCACCTCTATCCTCCAAATCAATTTTAGCTAAGGTGGAAATCTTCTCCAAGATGAGATGGAGCGGTAGAAAATAATAAAGGTAGCTTTGGAGAAACAGACATGAAAACCGAGATTAAAACTCAAAGAAAAAGAAAATGAAAAGGAGGTATTATCATGTCTATAAAGCACAAACTAGGAGTTTTGATTTTTCCATCTCTGAAGAGCAAACCATGTCTAGTTGTAACAAATTGGTGTGGGTACTCGAGAAGCCGCACAATGTTTCACAGAGTTGCTTTAAACAGTGAAAAAAACAATACTTATTAACTCATCTGCTATGTATTCTGCCTTCGAAAATAGAAACCACAACAGTTCCAACTTGCTGCTAAACCAACAAATCAGATCTCAACTAAACCATAACCAAGCATATAACTTTAGCAGGATTTTGCTACCCAACAAACTGAAGAGCATTGGAAGACCAGTGGGAAAACAAAGATGAATAGTGCTTTGCACTATGGGCTCACAAAGCTAAATTGACCATGTTTAAAAGCAGATAAAATTCGAGAGGCTAAATTTTTTGTCTTATGCAATAAAATCCCAATTTGCAATACACCTTTTTCCATTAGTTTGACAAACTTCAGAAACAAATTCTCTTAAACCCAAAAGTTAGTCAAACAGAGAGAGAGAGAGAGATAGAGAGAGAGAGAGAGAGAGAGAGAGAGCCTTTTCAAACACACATGAAAGCAAGGCTTTTTCATTCAAATGGAGAAAAACTCAACAGCCCTGATTTTCTATATCTGCCATAAATTGAGCTCACCTGGTGCTGTTGCTGTTGTTGGGCAGATCATGGGAAGAAGATGGGTCCTTTTCTTTAGCTGCTTCTTCCTCTGTTTTGATAGGCTGGCTTTGGCCAACCACCTTTTCCTCCATCTCTGGGGGATTCTTCACATCACCAGCTTGAGATTTTTCTTCCATTTCTTTCTTTGCTCCTCAAGAGTTTTTTGGTTGCTTCACAACTTTCACAAGGAGAGGACCAACTCAAAAGCTTCCAGCGGTGACCAACCATCAATTATTTCACTGTTTTTTAATCTCCCACGTGTTAAAGAACAGATGCCCCGACAATTTAATAACATTAACTACAACTCAACCTGACCTTCCTAGCTCTTTCAAAGTTTACCATATCTGTCTCCGTTGATGGTTTTTAGGGCCACATGATCGTGTGGTCACAATTTCATTTTCTAAAAATGGGTAGTTATCCCAATTAGGTGAAGTGTTCGAGAATATAGATGATGTAATTAAAATTGGATAGTACCAACTAATCTAAATATGTTGTCTAGAGATTACTCATAATAATCTTTCCCAACAAATAAAAAAGAGATTATTCATAATAATTTTATTTTGGTTACATAATTTGGGAGGAAAGACAATCTTGGGATTTCAATCCTGAATGCCAAGCACGGGTAAAAGAGTAGGGCCACAACTACTGTGGTAACCCGCTCGATAATAATTTTGAATTACTTTCATATGACAGTTTAAGTTAATAAAGTGTTCCATTTTTTTAACAAATTAATTATGTTATTTAAAAAAAAAATCATATGCATATCGTAGTCAATCTAATCATAAAATTCGTCAAGGGATCTAACTTGTAATGTTTTTTAAGTCTAAAAATAATAATTATCATAAAGTTCGTGGATTAATAATGCAAATTAACAATCGAATTTTCATTAAAAAAAAATAATATATATGATAGCATAACATGTCAAAATTATGGCATTTCGCTTTCAGATGAAAAGTTTCATTTGCAACATGTCTTCTAAAAAAGAATGTGCATAATCGGGAAATGATCTTCGCCGTCCATACGTTGCAGGTTCTGGACGGTTCTGATTATTTATTATTATTATTATTTTATCTCAAATTAAATAGGGAACTTCACTAATATACTCAAATAGGGGCTGAAATTATTTTACAAAACCCCACATGGAATGTACTTTAGAAACACACCCAAAACTCATTTACTACATAATAAATTAGAGTTGAAATTCATAGAAATTCCTATAAATTACGTGATTGCCATTGATCAACTTAAAAAAAGCCTAACACAAAAAATTTAAATAGCACCCAAAACAAGCCCAACCTAATTTTATTTAAAAAAACCCCAAATAATTCATTACAAACAGAACGTCTTGAAAATCATAGCTTCATTAACGTGTCATGTTGATTAATGACTATAATGTTCCACACCTTTACTGTCATGTTGATTAATGGCTGTAATGTTCTAGTCTATGGTAATAACACTGCTAGTTTCCTATGACATCCTATTTCTAATGCATGTCTACCCCTGTAATGTTCCAGTCTAGGGTAATAACATTACTAGTTTACTGTCATGTTGATTAATGTCTGTAATGTTCCAATCTAGGGTAGGGTAATAAAACTGCTAGTTTATTGTCATGTTGATTAATGGCTGTAATGTTCCAGTCTAGGATAATAACACTGCTAGTGTCCTATGACATCTTATTTCTAATGCATGTCTACCCCATGTAATGTTCTAGTCTATGGTAATAACACTACTAATTTCCTATGACATCCTATTTCTAATGCATGTCTACCCTTATAATGTTTCAATCTAGGGTAATAACACTGCTAGTTTTCTATGACATCCTATTTCTAATGCATATCTACCCCTGTAATGTTCCAGTTTAGGGTAATAACACTGCTAGTTTACTATCATGTTGATTAATGCTTGTCATGTTGCTATTTCTAATACATGTCCACCAAAGAAAAGATGAATAAAGAACAAACCAAACTAACTCAAAACAAGCCGAGCCCATATTGTTAATAATATTATGTCATAGAAGTACATTGTTAAACAAAAATGAGATCCATAAATGAAATAGTAACAAAAGATAAATCGATCATCAAAGCTTAAAATACATTTCAAAAATCAACTAAAATTCGAAAAGAAACACATAATTGAAACAAAAGATCAAAAATCTCAAGTCAAAACCAAACGACGATGACATTGATGACGATGATGACAACAACAACGATGACGACGTGGCGAAAGAGGAGTAGAGCTCGAAGATAAGGAGTAGAGCTAAGAGCATATGATCGAGGTTCCGAACAATTTGAAAAAAAAAAATAATATCAATAGAAGCACGATTTTAGAACAAGAAATCGAAAGTGAAATATTGAAAATTGTAGATCAGAAATGAAGAATATAGTTGGACTTGAGACTGAGCTTCAACGGAAGCTCTTTGTTGAGGCCCAAAAAAGTCACGGTTCAGCCCAAATAAATTCTCGGCCCAATGCAATACCTTACCGAGAAGAAACCCGATTTGGGCACGCGAAAGTTCGTCATATGCGCTTGCACACATGCCACGCCAAGCAAATAAGCAACACGCCACGCTACAAGCTTAAGTGGGCCCAAGCCACGCAAGATGTCTGGGGCTTGCTTGAGTGGGTTGTGGTATGGATGGTAATAAGTTGACATGAGGCCCATTGATGGGCCAAGAAATGGAAGTCCCGAGGTTGCTTGGGAGCCTCGGAACTCAGGCCCATTTCTTAGGCCCAAACATGTGGGTGAGCACAAAAGAGAAAATATCCCAACCAAAATAGCCTATTGACTCAACCAAAAAAAGCTCAATGCTTGATAGAGATAGCCCACTTACTCAATAAACCAACTTGGCCCATACAATTACAATAGAAGAGCTGCAAAGCTCCAGCACCTGGCTGAAGAACAAAGCCACGAAGGGAAGTCTGAAGGTCCATTATGTAGAGTTGCTGGGAAAGTTCCAGCACATGGGAGGAACAAGTTTCAAGTAAAAACTTCCAAAGGACCAAGGGATATTGGAGCGCAGATCACTGTTTGAACCAGCATGCATACCCATTCTCTTTCCCTCATCAGACCTAGCCATAAAAAAAAGGAAGAAAGGAAAGGAAGGAGATTGCTGAAAATGGGAGTTCTGAGGTAGCTGCGGGAAAGGGCCTTGAGCTCCTAAAAATCCCTGATTTTGTGCAAATAGACTGAGGAAATTTCACCAAGATGGGAAAAGTCAAGGGAGGAGAGAAGAAAGGAAGGGAGAGATTTGGCCAAATTGGATAGGAACCATTAGGATTTCTTGGAAAATGGTAACTTTCAGCGCCTATAAAAAGAGGCATTTCCTACCCATCATAACAACCACATCCAGAGAGCAAGCTTCCTCTCTTACTCCAAAAACCCAGCAATTTCGTGCTTAGCCCATCCCTTTTCCTTAGTTTTCCCTCTTGGCAAGCTATTCTGCTAGCAGATTATTTCAACACTTGACAGAGTCTCTGTCAAGCTGCCGGAAGAAACAATCAAGCCACCCATTCCTTTCTCTCCCTCCATTCTCAGCCAAATTTTCTTGCAAACCTTCCCTTTCTTACCTTAACACTCCCCCTTTCCCCAAACTATGCATAATTTTCTCTTACTCATGTCGATTTTGCTCCTATGCCACGAGCTTTTCATGCAAAGCCAAGAATTTATCTGTAAGCAGCCATTATTTTCGTTGGCGAAGGTAACCAAGGTGTTTCCTAAGGCTTTACAACCCTTTCGAAATATTTTGGGGTTTGATCTTTGAACTCAGACATAAGGGGGATATTTTCTTCAGTTTTCTCTTTACGGCAGCCCAGGCCCGCAGTAGTTGCCGGAACGAAAAAGCCCCTACACTCTTCTTGCTCCAACACCGAAAAAGTATTAGCGAAAAAGGAGAAAATAAATATGATTTGGTTTTTATATTAGATGACAAATATGATTTTTCTTGCTCAAATCTATAGTACAAGGGCAATATATGTGTTTTACACACACAAATAAACTAAAAAATAGCTATTAAATTAAAAAAAATTAACTGCTGTCAATTTTTGGGTGTATTTATAGTTTTTAAATAGTATAGGGTTTCTTTATAAGACAACGTCTAAAATTGAGTATATAACTAAATTTGTAAATTAAATATTTTAAATCCAAAATAATAACAAGATTAAAATAAAATAAATATAAAAAATAAAAAACCGGAATCTAATTTTTTACTATAACATTGTTGTTTCAATTAAGTTATCTCAGTTTGATTATTAAAAATAAGAAAAAAAAAAAAAAACAAGGCGGGTAACCCGAAATCTGCCGGATAAGAGTTTTGGATCGGGAAAAAGCCTGAATCGAATCGAAAAATCGGGATGCTGTGTGCTCGAAGGTGGAGGTAGCAATGAATTGAAGATTGACTTGCATGTTTCAAAAAATCGATCATTTTACACGATTGTATGTGATTGAATGGAGCCTCCTCCTTTCCAAGAAGCACCACGCTGCGACGTCTGCAAATGCAGCTTCAACGCTTTCAGGCGACGGGTACCCATTTCAATTTCCCTCTCTCTTTCTCACATTTATATTTATTTATTTATGTATATATATATATATGGAAACAAGTGAAATTTAATGAATTTATGAGTACCCATTTGACCCATCAACACTTTGAGGCCAATAAAATTAATTAATTTATATTTTCAATCGAGAACCAAAAGGCTCTGTTGATGCCATTACTTAGTTTTCACTGCCAAGGTTCTTCATGCTTCATTGGGATCTCAAAGTTTTGTACTTTATTTGCTGCTTAGCTCAAAATTTGATATTGATGGCCAAGGGGCTTCTTTTGTAATGATCTAATATGTTATGGTCAATGGTGATTGATTAGCAATCCAATTCTTCTTGCATGCACAAATGGGCCTTTTCCAATTGAAAATATTGACTGACCATCTTTCTGCAAGTTACAAGCTTGCCTACTTTTGCATTCTACTTTTACATATCTGAACGTGATATGCTTTAGCTTATGATTTATGCAGCATCATTGCCGATCTTGTGGGCGGACGTTGTGCCATGAACATTCGTCAAACCAACTGGTGTGTTTGTTTTACTCAAAACTTTATTTATCTTTGCAGCAATTTTACCAATTGGTGAACTTTCACTGAGCAATCATGATTTTGTTTGCAAACTCAGGCTCTACCACAGTTCGGCATTTATTCAACCGTTAGAGTTTGCAGTGATTGTTTCAATGACTCCTCTCGGTAAATTACTCTTCATTCAACTTTTTAGAATATACATACTTAAATATGTATGTATAACTGTATATCATATCTTTTTTTGGTTTTCTCATTCATCCATTCTAAGTAGAAATAAACGCTAAATGGATAATGTCTGTTATGTATATTGATGTTTGTGAGTTCTTGCTGTCAATGATGGGATTTGATTGAAACTTGAGAACTTGAAACTTTTGTTTTCTTCTTTTGATATCGTTTGTATACTAGAGTTGATTGATGGTGGAAATGACTCACTGATGTTGCTTGAAGGCTCATGAATTTGTAATGAACACTTAATTGATCTTGGTGAGCTTGCGGTTCAGTCAACCAAGTCAACTAAAAATAGAAACTCGAGAGAAGTTGCAGCAGATGGCAATTCTTAGTAGAAATCTGTCCTTCAGGATATATCTCATTGCCTTGGTCCTAAAAGTGAAAGTTTTTTCTTTGTTAAACATTCAAGGGCTACTGGTCTATTAAGTAATTGGTGCCTGAGTATTACTAGCCTGTTAGGGTTAGGTGTGACGGAATCATGGAATGGAAGTCTCCTTTCAGTGTTTGGGTGTGTCTTGGAATGGGAATTATCTCTTCTCTTGGAATGGAATTCTCACATGTCCCCCTTTGCTTGCCTTATTGGATTTGTAAAACCCTGTTTTCTGTTATTTCAACCCATTCAGCACCCTAAACATTTCCCATACTTCTAATTATATAACTTCTCGTTGTTTCTATGTCATAGACAATTTTCACCTTGGGGTTTCTTTGGTTTAGAGCCACTGATAAACTATATATTAAGTCTTGCAGTGTAGAAGCATCTCCAGTGAAGTGCCATGGATAAATAGGGCATGCCATCCATTAAGCAGATTGATAATGGTGGTTTAGTGGCAATAATTGGCTAAAGAACCTGAAAAGGATCATGCAAGTGTACTCATTTGTGAAATCTTGATATCTTATATGCTTACAGAGATTTATGGCATGCCATCCACTACAGTGTGTAGTTATTTATATACACACGCACTTCTTACTCTTGACTTTGCACTCTGGCTAAAAAAGCATGCTTAGTGAAGATGACTGAGCACTTTACAAGTTGCCACCTTATTCTGGGTTCCATTTTTATTTCGCCTTCTTTCTTGTTTATGCTCACATATAGTACCCTATGCCATGTTAATGCTACATGGGATTTCTTTTCCTTTCTTCTTTCTTCTTCCCTCAATTATTAAAGGATTTTTGGGGGTCATTGCGGATATTGTTTTTGCACAGATCTACCAAAGGTGATGTATCTTCAGACAGAGTTGATGCTGTAACAGCTACAGTTTCTAGATTGGACATTGGTGCAGATGTAGATTTAAAGGCTGAACCAACTGTAGAGTATCAACCTGTGTCAGCCATTTCAGAATGCAAGTGTGGAATGCCTTTATGTATTTGTGAAGCTCCAGCTCCATCCGTGGATGCAGTTCCCCAGCAGGTATGAATTCTAAAATTTCTTTGGATGTTTCTTCTGCACCTTGCCATCATGTGTTTCATAGGTCATATTTTTGTTTGTGGCAGAGCAAAACCGTATCCCCCTCTGTCCCTCGATCGAATCCAAGACCAAAAAAGACAGAAACCACTTTAAAAACCAATGCTTCCACTTCGAACAGCAAACATAGGTAGGTTGCCTCTGGGGTTTTGTTTGCAATATCTTCTACTCCTGACATGATGGATAATAGTTTAATCAACATTTACTATGTGATTTCTTTGTGATTTGTTCACGATATCGAGAAGCATTTTATTTAGCAATTGGGAGTTTGAAGCTCCAGACCTCAATTCTTGTAAACTTGAATTGAGTTTATAAAATTCTAATATCAGAAGAAAAGGGAGTGGTGCTATATTGACACTTGATCTTTAACTCTGGCTGATTTCCACGTATTTTGGAAATTCATGTTTTTCATTTTTGTGTATTTTCCTGCTAGATTTATGTGGTAATTCCATCTACTTATTCCTTTAAACTTTGATTAATTGATATAGATAAACAATAATGTTTTTGCATTTTGCTTGATTGTGAATTGGCAATTTGTGATGTTGGTGCCAAACTACACACTGTTGTGGTCTGTAATTATTTCTACACACTTTGCAGTTCTGTCTTCAATCTTGGTCAAGCGAACAGCGGAACTTCTGATAAAAGCCAGATGGATTATGAAGTCACTGGGGAGGTATAAACTTTGATTTTCTATTTAGTCACCAAAGGTACAATTGTGCAGAAGAAATTTAGTTGCTCTAGATAATGATTCTTTTTATGTGTGTTCTTAGGGTATGAGAGAAGCTATAAAGAATGGTGATGTTGCTGCTGTCAAGAAGCTTCTGAGTGAGGTATTAACATTTGGAGAGTAAAATGAATATTTTAAAAGTGGGTTTAATAACACTATCATTTTGGCAGGGTGTTGATGCCAATTACCATGACAAGCAAGGACTTTCTGTGCTACATTTAGTATGATCTCTCTCTCTCTCTCTCTCTCTCTCTCTCTCTCATAATTGGTTCCAGTGCTTAGAGTTCTTTTTGTGACACTAATGTCAGGCAGCAGTCTTTAATCAAACTGAGATAGTTTTTGCCCTGATGGACTCTGGAGCAAGCCTGGACTACAAGAATGCACAGGGTAATTTTTCCTTGGTCCCCTTCGAATGTGAACTTAGTTGAATTTTTTGTTTGGCATGGTAAAACAACGGCATGAATAGAGAATGTCCAGTACAAAATGTATGATATCCCTCACACACTGCAAATATGGCTTCAGTTTATCTGCTTGAAACAATTGATTGGGCACTGGTGGTAGCAAGTAGGTAGCTGTTGTTCACATATTGCGTCACTTTGGTTGTCTCTTGACTGACTGCTTCTTATTTATAGGGGAAACACCCTTGGACTGTGCTCCTGCCACTCTCCAATACAAGATGCGACAGAAGATGGAAGAAGATAGAAGAGCATGAGAACTGCGGCCCTAGATTGTCCGAAAGAGTGATATATATATGCATTTTTAAGATACGTGTACAAGTCATTTGTTTCCAATCAAGAAATTCTATTGACAAACTACTTGATGGATTTCTGTTATATATGGATCGCATGGCAAAGGATGCAGGCTACAAGATATTTTGGAGTGTGCCGAGAAGAGTTCCCTTCCAAGGCGATAAAACTATCTCTGTACTGTAGGGAAAGAGAGAGAAAAACTTGTTGAAAATCATCTTCTGTTTGCAATGGCAAGCTCTGTATGTAAAGATGTGATAGGAAAAAGGGGGGATCAAACCAGAGCATCACCTTATCCTGCACCTTTTATGCGAATCATGCAATAAATTGTTGCTTGTATGGTTGGTCCTTTGTGTTTGCTGAAAGGTGAAAGAGCATCATCACCTTTTGTCAACTTTATCTTTGGTAACTACCTTTAGTCAACTTTTGTTCGAGTATGCTGTTGCAAGAAATAAAGCAACGGTCGGATGTGGGGTGCGTTCTTATCACAAATCATGGTAAAAGTAGTGGGAAAATTTGGAATTGTTGTGCGTTTTGGTGGAATATGACTAGGATGGTAACGTGGTGGTAATTAAGACACGTAATTGGGTCATGCCAACGTTTCATGAAAAAGCTACTTATCAAAAGAAAAAGGTCTCCACCACTTCTATTCCTTTATGCATTTCAATAGTATCGTTGATGGCGGTGAATCTCACAACGCATTAACAATTAATAATCATTCACGAGTAAATCTCACAGCGTATTAACAACTGATAATAACTCGTGAGTGACTCTCATTTGTTGGTGATAGTGAATCTCACCACACATCAACAACTGAAAGTCATTCATACGAGCGTGAAGGCTTGATTGATAGTTGGTTAGTAACAACAGACGAAAATAAAAGAAAAGAACAAAGTTGGTTGTAATCTTATGATCAGATCCCACGTGCTTTCAACTTTAATGATGATGTATTATAAATTTATATAAACCAATTCCATGTACCTAATGTTTCTAATAAGTTAATAGAGAATAAATATTTAAATGATAGAGCCACCGACCCAAGTGACTGACTCAGATGCGCACAAATACAATCGCAATGACAAAGCAAATGACCTGCTGACGAGTCAGTGACAGCTCCGCACTCCCTGAATAAATCAAAGAAAAAGTTTGAAAGAAAAAAGAAGCAAATGGGCCCCACACGCATCATCTTCTTTACAATTCACTTCTCATCCACTGTCTTTATAAGGAAGCTGGATGCCATTAAGAAATTCCCCTTTTCTCTCTTCTTCCTCTGTTTTCTCTGTTTTCTTTTGCTCTTCTTCTTCTTACTCTGTTCTCTCTGTTTCAATTTGCTTGTATGGTCTGCTCATTGCTTGCATATTCTCCAATGGGTTTGTTTGAAGAAGACTCGTCCTCATCAGGCTTGATAGTGAGCCATGTTTTATACAAAGCAGCTTTTGTAATTGCCTTAATGAGATGGGTTTTGTACTGGGCCCTCAGACTCAGACAAAGACTCTTATCTTCTTCTTCCTCCTCCTCCTCCTCTGTTTCTGACCATGGCTACAATTTCCTGGAGGCAGAGCATGGTGAATTACAAAACTACCCTCCTGTGCCTTCCTCTTGCTCTTCTTCTTCAACCCAGTTGATCAGAGACTGCCTTGTGCAGACCACCTTTGAAGAAATTACCAACAGACAAGGAAGCTACAGACCCAGCAGTGGCTGTGACACGTGTGCTGTGTGCTTGAGTCAGCTGGAGATGGAGGATCAGGTGAGGGAGCTCAGGAACTGCAGCCACGTGTTCCACACAGAATGCATCGACAGATGGCTGGAGTATCATGATCATCATGATCATCATCACGATGATAACCACAGGACTTGCCCACTCTGTAGGACCCCTTTGCTGACGTCATCCCAAATCCAGAGCTTGAGCTGGGATCACAGATCCCAGCCCAGCTGGGCTGTGGAGAGACTGCTCTACCTCTTTGGGGATGATCTGCTGTTGTGATTTTTTATTTATTTTTGAATGTGCTTCTTGTAGGCTTGTAGTTGTAGTTACATTTTATAGAGCATTTTAATTCAGGTGAAAAATATTATCAGTGTACAAATTGGGATTCTTATGATTTATGTGTAAGGGAGTTGTTTTTGGGCCAGGCTAAGGGATGATTTTGTAATTTATTGGATCGGTTTATAGGACAACGACCCAGTGAAGACCAAATGACGTGCTTGCTGTGGTCTAATCAAAGTGAATTATTTCCCAGCCACTTTTATTTGTGTATTCTTGTCTCGCCCTTTTTTTATCCTCACTTTCCATTGTTTTATGTATCAAATTTGTATCTTATAACAGTTGGGACAGAAATGAGGGATTATGGATGCTTTTTGCTAATTAATTATGTTATTATTTCTCTCTTTTTGAAGTAAAGCAAAATTGATAGGGATAGCTCGAGCTCCGGGGTTGAAGTATAATGGTGGTAGTTTAATATATAAACGTGTATGTCTTGAATATGTTAAGGTTCGTCTTGAAAAAATTTAAAGGTTTACTTTAAAACATGTCTCAAAGATCGCGATCAATTACAACAATTACAATAAGGAATCCATCCATTGTGAGGGTTCTATTGCCTGGGCAATCAGAGTCCAACAATTGCTTTTGAGATTACTCTACTATCATCTGGTTTATTACATGGATACGATTTTGGGTCACTAATGTTATGTTAGGAAAGAGTCACTAATGTTATGTTAGGAAAGAGTAGTAGATAACAGCTAGCACATTCTGACATGGTGAGAATGAAACCATTTGTATGTTGTTCTGATACTCCTAACTAGAGGGGTATGCTCATATCCGATACTTCGATACTTGTAACTAATATGCTGGTACTCCTAACTAAGGTTCCTTTACGTTGTACTAACCTAAGATTGAGATTGAAACCTTAATCGTAAAGTCCTAGGTCAAGTTACTTGAGTATCCAAGCCTAATCGAGTCCTAAGTACCCTATAGTAGGTTTAGGGTCAGAATTCGAGGCTTGCGAACGGTTTTGGAACAAGTTCGAAAGTTAGGATTTTTGGTTCAAGACTTTGATTCAGGGTTTGGACTTTGGAGGGTAAATTTTCCATCAAAATTCATTTTTGGGATACTAAAATAATTTTATAGAATTTATAAATAATTGAAATAATCCATTTTTAAATAATTAAAATTATTTTGAATGTTTCATCATTTTCTATCTTTTTGACAACCAATGCACAATTTATCGAATTCCAAGGGGTTAAATCGAAATATGGCCTGAAAATTGAAATCTGAATCAGTTTCATTTCTACTTGCGCGAAGTCTCAAGGACCCAAACCCGTTGTGGCAAGGTCCGGGTTCAGAAGCTCCGCTCCAGTAGACCAGTAAAACCATACCATACTAGCAGTCTTGACGACGAATTAGATCTATACAGTCGAAGTTGCTTGACCAGTGTTGCCTTTTCAGATCTCCAATTCTCTGCTCCCAACTCGCCAGTCACCGCACTTGTTCGTCCTTTCATTTCTGATCGTCGTCTACAATCAATTCGAACAAGGTAACGTATAATTCTCTGTATCTCTCTCTCTCTCTCTCTCTCTCTCGCATTAGTCTTCGATTTTGTAATTGTAAAATATGGTGAAAGATTAATCTGTGAATTATTGTTGCAATTTGTGTGTAATGGATCTTCCTTTGATCCGAATTGTAGACATATTCGAATTAGTAGAAGATGGCGGGTGGTGCAGCTGGCGGTTTCGTAACTAGGGCATTCGAGTCCATGCTCAAAGAGTGTTCTCCCAAAAAGCATGCTGACCTTCAGAAAGCCATTCAGGCTTATATAGGTTTCATTCTCACCTCCTCTGTATACAATTATACATATGCTGATATACATTACGTATCTAACTTTGGACGATCCAGGATTCAGATTGGTTTGGAGTTGGTGTTTGTTGGTTTTTTGGTTTTTGAAGTATGAATGTACTACTTAAAGTCAGATGAAATCAAACAATTATTTGGGCTGACCTATGATAGTATGGCGTACGATAATGTGGGGAAGTGTGAGCTTAAGATAGAGTTTGTGTTGTTTATGTAATGCATGTAATTTTTTTTGATCGTAACAAACTCTGGTTTTCTGGGAAGGATGGAGCACGGAAATGCCTATTTTGTTTTTTGTAGCGTCAATGTGTTGCTTTCAGTGGTTATTTTTTTATGTAGTTTCAATTTGATGTTTGTTAAACTTGAAGATCAAAGGTCTTAGTCAGTATGTCTTGTGTATGTATTTTCCTTCTGTTTATAAATGATATTTCTATTCTTCACTGATAGTTAATTTCAGTTATCTCTCTCTCACGGTTGTTTTTTGTTTCTTTAGATAATACGAAAGAGGTCAATCAAACTCAACAGACCATTTCAACTGAGAAGAATCAAGCTACAACTTCAGCTGGTGATGGAAGGTCTATATTTGTAGCTCAACTAATAATTTCCTTCTCTCCCCTTCACTCTATTCCCCCCTTTAATATACAGATTTGCAGAATGTAGTTATTATGCTTGTATGGCAATCATGTTGAATTCAACTTTTACATATGCGTGACATCTTTGTAGGCCTCAATGTCAAAATATTTATGGGACATTCCTTGTAGTTGATTCATAGTGATCGAGCCGAAGTCATTAATTAACTGTATCAATTTTCTTGCAATTGTAGTATGTTTAAGCATAGAGGGACACCTAGTCTTTTATTTTATTTTATTTTATTTTATCTTATTTTCAATTTAAATACATTTTGTGCTTCCTATTTTTGTACCCCGAAAAAATTATACACATGTCGAGCTGCAATGGTTAAATTTTATTCACATGGTTTTAGATCATGATCAGGCCAGATAACAGCACAATATGTCTGGGTTTCTTTTTATCAGATCCAACAGATTTGGATTAGTTTATCTAACAAACGGTACCAAATATTATCATTACATGGGATTAAAATCATAGTGATGTGATCAGACATTGTTTTGACTTTTGGAATCTCTTCTGTTTTGTAGTTCTCTTGAAACAGAGGGTGGAGCTGCAAAAACTGATACAGAACCAGATCAGTCTCAAAACACTGCTGAGGAGGCAGATTCTGTTGCTAGGCCGGTGAGCACAAGTGCAACTATTTCAACTGTCCTGGCGAAGGCTGGGAACACCTTAGAAGGAGCTCAGGCAGAGCTTGTTTTGAATCCCCTACGACTTGCATTTGAGACAAAGAACTTGAAAGTCCTAGAACCTGCTCTGGATTGTCTTCATGTATGCATTTCATTTCTTGATTTTTTTTATTTGTAGATTAAATATTATGTGCTTTCAAGATGGTGATACTTTGTTACACAAGGCATGAAGAAATTCATTGTTCTATCATAGTATCTGCATTCTTTATGATTAGCTGTTGCTCCTTGTTATCATCACTTAGAATATGTTGCATATCTATAATAGCTAACTAGTTCTTCAAATTTCATAAGCACAGAAACTCATTGCATATGATCATTTAGAGGGAGATCCTGGTTTAGATGATGGTAAAAGCGTACCGCTGTTTGCAGACCTTCTGAACATGGTTTGCAGTTGTGTTGACAACTCGTCATCTGATAGGTATGTGCCATGCACGTCATTGGTTTTCTCCCAAAATATGTGGCTTGCTATTCTTTCTTATTTTGGGAAACGATGTGCAGTACCGTTTTGCAAGTGTTGAAGGTCCTTCTTACTGCTGTGGCATCCACGAAGTTCAGAGGTATGTTATCAGGGATGTGTGGAAATCGGGTATTCTTTTGCTAGTGTATTATATAACTTATATAGGCTGTCAAAAGTTGGGTTTCTTATCCATGAAGTGTACTCATATGTACTGTGGTACTGGGTCTCTTCTATTGTAATATTCCTGATCTGCAGTCATTTATATGCATTTCAGCATATATCTTTGTCAATTTGTGCATATGTATGTTTGGTGCTGGTATTGTTGTGCCTTTTCTTGTTTCTACAATTTTCAGTGCAAGAAATTATTTTAAAGTTTAAAACCTGCTTCAAATGCAGTACATGGGGAACCTTTGCTGGGAGTTATCAGAGTGTGCTACAATATCGCTCTGCACAGGTACTTTTACATTTGCATAAGGGTGCCCGATATCAATTTGAAGCAGTGCTAATGAATTGTACTTTGGACTTGTAGCAAGAGTCCCATAAACCAAGCAACGTCAAAGGCAATGCTTACGCAGATGATCAGCATCATATTCAGGAGAATGGAGACTGACCCAGTATGAATTTAAAGCTTTCAGTTCTGAATGTATTTATCTGTAGTCTGATACAACTGTACAGGACATGCATAAATTTTTTAAGTTATTTTACCCCGTATTCTAGAAAGTTTGTAATTTCTTGCAGGGACTTGAGGATGCATCATCTGGTTCTGTTGGACATATAGAAACCATTTCAGGACAAAGTTCAAATACAAAAGCTGAAGAAACTTCCTTGGAAGACCAAAGTGAGAAAGAAATGACTTTAGGAGATCAACTTAGCCAGGCCAAAGACACGCCCATTGCATCTGTTGAGGAACTTCATAATCTTGCTGGCGGTGCTGACATCAAGGTACACTGTTTTCTCTAGTTACCTATTTTCTTAATACCTTATGCACTCTCAGATGCTGTGTTTGCCACCATTTACTATGTCTCTCAATGCTGGCTATTTTAGCTTGCCAGGTTTCCTTCTGTACTAAGATTGTATTTGTTATGTTGTTTAGGGCTTAGAGGCTGTCCTGGACAAGGCTGTGCATCTTGAAGATGGTAAAAAGATAACCAGGTTTGGATATGATTACTTTAAGATATCTCTTTCTCATTTTCATAGTCAACCAAATGTCTTTACATTGATTTGATTGCTCATAACTATTATGTAATTTTTATAGAGGGATTGACCTCGAGAGCATGAGCATAGTTCAACGTGATGCTTTACTGGTTTTCCGCACCCTTTGCAAGGTTGGTTTGTTGAGCAATGCCTTCTAATTGTCGACAGCAATCCCTAGCCTCATTCATGAATCTAAATTTATCGTCTGCAGATGGGGATGAAGGAAGATAACAATGAAGTTACATTGAAGACGAGGATTTTGTCTCTTGAGCTTCTGCAGGTTACATTAGGGATTTATTTGTGCTTTTATGTTCATGGTTCCATGGATGCTTAACATAAAAAAGAAGTTGATACTGTTTAAATAACTCAAAAATAGTATTTAAAACCTTTTTGTTTTTAGGTGTGAATTGATTAAGCAGTCAATCA